CCCCCCCCCCCCCCCCCCCCCTCTTCCTACCTCCCTATTAGAAAGCAATTATTCAACGGAGTCCTTACCTAGAGGCCGACTTCGAGCAACCTAAAGTTTGATAAAAGGAATGGTGTATGACTTTTTTTTGCCAAGTTGTCAAACTAAGGGCAGATAGAATCATTTTGGATGGCATAGTTAGTTTCAGATTTTCACAAGGGTTTTATTCGAAAGATTTGTTCACCAGTGCTGTGGCGAAGGTGGTTCTCAGAATAACCCACAGGGTACATAGGAGCTGAATCTATGTAGTGATGAAGAAGCCTCATACCGTTCAAGTTCCATACCGCTACGAAGAGCGTATCCTAGATCGACGTCACTCCTTGAACTTGCCCCATAAACCGTCAGCTGATCGCACACGAACTTGTTGTCTTTCACAGCCTCTGGAATCAAGCCATGGTATGACCCAAAGGATGATTGGTGGCTCATTAGGGGATTCGGTTTCAGATTTAGGGAGGGATCGGAGAACTAGCCAATTCACGACCTTTTTTGGCTTTTCTCGCCTTCAACGCGGATAAGCAAACTTACTTAGTCTAACGGTAATGCGAACGTTTACAAGTCTTTCCCATTCTCCTGGACCAAAGTCAGGTGGAGCCGAAATCTTCGGTTCGACTGGGAATGCTTGCGCTGAAATCAGTAGACTCGAGGTGTTTTCGAATCCGAAATCGGACCAAACAGACATCAAGCTTTCGGACTGTGGAAATTAAAAGTGAAGCAAAATTGGAGTCCGTGAGCTCACTGCTATAAGGACATACGAGGAAATCTTCTTAACTCCAATGGCATTTCATAGAGACTTCTGGCGTTCACCATCTGATGAGCACCATAGTCGACAAGGTAGGCCTAGAAGACAGCCGTCAGCCGGCCAGAAGCCTAACTTGACAGATGTTCCAGAGTGTATAGATATCAGTCCAATTGGAACACTCACTTCTACATGAGCTGGGTCAGGCCTTTTCTCCACAACTACACGGGTCCATGTCATCGTACTGTTATTGTATTGTAGTCGAACAAGGGCTAGCGCACCTCAATTACCAAGATCTCTGTGAAACAATAGATTTCTTCTGCAAGAGATCAGTAGGCATTTAAATCAGCAGTTTTCGATACTTAGTAGTTCTACCGTGATGATTAGCCTCATCTCGGCCCCATCAAAGGCTAGGTAACTGAACTCTGCTCCACTAAACTTAGCGGAATGATCGTCTACGGCTTGTTGCAAACGTTGTGCTTCAGGTCATTTGGGGGGGGGGGGGGGGGGGGAGGCGGGAATTCCTGTGGAGGTGTTGCTCCCTAATTTCATGGTATTATGTCGGTTCACGGAGGTGGTGTCGTGGCAAGGGCACACTATCTCGCACACACGGTCAGGGGTTCGAAATCCCGGGTCGTGTCCGCCCAGGTCTACCAAGACTTCCATCCTTCGGGTTCGGTTAATTGGTACCAGACTCGGCGGCACTACGATTCTGAATGGAAGTCGAGTGCGGGGGCATATTTCTCAGGCGGATTGATCACACCCCAAGACATTATCTTTTATGTCGGTTCTCCTGTCGTCTAAAAGATTCCTCAGTATCGGTAATAGGCTATTTGCTGAATTTGGATTCAGTGTGGGACGCGCCTCTAAAAAACGGATTCCCGAGCTTTTCTTGTACTGCTTCCTTATCACCTTGTACGCCTTGTCATCCCAGGGTTTCTGTGGAAAGAGTGTCTCTGCATGGATCTTGTTCTTTCCCAGGTCCTCTTCATGCACAATGATGTTGTGCATCATAAATTAAGGTTTCCGAATAGATTTTCAACTGATTCGTTATCTTTCTGAGCGGGATAGCGAACGATGAAGGTCGATTCCTTATCATTATCATTCTCTTCTCTGGTGGGTGTGCAGGGGGGGGGGGGGGGGGGGGAGGACAGGTAACGCNATCGGTCTCACAGAGAAGTCGTACATACATCTGGCGATGCGACCACCGGATGCGCCATGAATAGCGCCATTCGCTTCTGTGACAGGTACTTGTTACTTGGCGGACAGTGTGCTAAACGCTACCTTTTCGAATATATCCTAAAGGACGATGTTTGGCTATCGCTGCAGCTGCAGTGATCGCTAGTTTATTGTCGAACGAAGGCGTCAACCACATCTGATCCATTCCTGCAAAAATTTGTTCGAATTACTTACGCTTTCCGCTACATCCTAGTGCAAACCTGCAGCCGAAACAATGTATCCGTCAAAATATCCATTGAGTCCTACGTTGAGCTCAAGAGGTGGAAGCCCTGACACTGTAAAGTTGCTTGGAGAGTTTTCATCAGTCCCTGAAGAATGGTTTCAGAGCGTAACGAACCGGAAGGTAGACCTATACCCACCTAATAATGCTTTGAGCATTCCAACAGGATTGCAAAGTTGAAATGAAACTTACAGCAGAGTTTCATGAACTGTAAACAGGTAGCTTACTCTAATGAAAACAGTCCATGGTCTCTGATAAGCATACCTGATCGTAGACCTCCCTTCGGATACTCAGTGTTTTTCTCATGCACTGATAGTGGTTTGAGTCCATTATCGAGGTTTGAGAAAGAGGGGTTTGTTCGCGGTGTACTGCACCCTCCATTAAGGCGCAAGAAGATCCAGGAAGAGGGAAGGGAAAGAGGGTTACTTTTTTTCACGGCTCGCATCACTGGAGCCATTACGATTCATTGAAACCTGACTGAATGGTCATGTCATTAGAGTCAAAAACGTTTGTTCAAAGGCAGAGATGAAGAGGAATTTATGGTTTCCGGACATCTCCTTAAGATGAATCAATGGCGCTCAACATGCCGCATGTGGTGCTGTTAGGTCGAAGAAACGGCTTGTGGCATTGGAAGGCTCGAAGATTAAATCGGCACTATGCAACAACCAAAGGCGGACGAGTTTCAACGACGAGTTGTGGAGACTGCGCCATTCACAATGGAGCGCACATGTTGAATATTCAAACAACTAGTTGTGGCCTATGGCTACAGTGGATTTCGATTTTCTGCATTTTCGGCTTACTGTACCCAGTCCTACGCACTAGCACACAACCGACAGTTTGTCCAGTCACCCCTTTCCGTCATATTCTTATTCTGCTCCTTTTTTTTTT